GGATTAAATATCATTGTAGTTCACAATAAATTTTATAAAATACCTCGATTACAATTATACTAAATAACTGGAGGTTTTTTGAGAAGCTATAAAAATTAATTCACTAAAATATTTTCATCGTTATAAAAAATTACAATTTGTTGGTATCGTGAAAAAAAATAGTGAATGGTAATTTTTCAACTTTTTTATATGAGCCTTTAAAGTTATAAAAAAGTTATGAGTAATTAAAATTCACACGTTCACTGTATATTCTAACAATGTTATAACTCACCCTGATAGAAAATATTATAAATATACAAATATTTATCACCTAAACGTGAACAATTGAATAGTTGAATCGAATCGATCGTCTTGCCGATTCAAGTGTAACATCGTTCATTTACAGATCCGTCGTACAGCAGCTTTGAACCGTTCGAAATCCTTGAATGAGGAACGGTTGCACGGTCGATTGCAATTTAAAAGGGCGCCACGGTATTGTGGAAAATCGAGAGCATTCTCGTGGACTTTCATAGAATCGAACTTTTGAGGACAGACTCTCGGAGCACTTTAAGAATGTTCGTAGGGGGCAAATAAAAAAGAAAAGAACGGCTTTCCCGATGTTAGGCTCTCTTCTGCTTCCTTTACCTTCCACTTGTTTTCTACTTATAAGCTACTTCCTGAAAGGCGATTCTTTTATCCGTCAAACTTCTAACGCGAACAGTCGGGAAACGGGTTCTACCCGGGAAGAAAGGAAACGGGGGCCGCGTTTTGCTTCGATTTATTCACGGTTACGGCCTCGTTCGCTCGAACGGAACGAATATTTCAAAACTTTCCTACGAGATAATTGGATAAAGGAAACGATATTAATATTTAGAAAGACGGTGCTAAATTCGATTCTAAATTCTTTCTATAAATTTCAAACTCGATCCATCCGTACAACAAATAAACTCGTACGTAAAATTCAATTCATGATCACCGCAAAACATTGAAAAGTAAACCACCCCGGGGCGCATAACGAAACATAGAAATTTATTTTGAAACGCAATATCCAACGGGAAAGCATTTGTTCCCGAGGAACCGAAAATTAATTCGCATTATTCCAGTCCGAATGGTTCATATCCCGCTGAAATTGATCGCGCAGCATCCCGTCCGGGAGCGATAAACCCGACGAAATAAAATTCAAACGAGCGTCGTTAGTCCGGCCTGCCAGGATACGCTTCGACGAGGGACTATTTTTTTTCTAGCCGCTAATAAAACGCGAATTTTTATTCCCTTGTGATAAAAATCGATCCGGAATCGTCGGTCTGATAAAGGCTAGCCAGCTTTTCGAAATTATTTTCATTTGCAACGGCGTTAAAATCCTAGACACCTGCGTATCAATATTAAAATTTCGCGAACGCAAGGATCGAATGATAAACGATCGTGATAAATAGAAAGTAGAGCAATCTTTCCAGTGTGATCCCAGATTTTGCGATAGAAAGTTGCGCAAACTCGGAGCAGAAAAACCGAAGCCGGTGTAGGCGGTTAAACGCAAGTCCAGCTCCCTAACGGTATACAGAGTTAGATTCTCTAAGTTCTAAGTACTCGAGCAACTCTAGAAGAAGCATTGAAACGGGCCGATAAGGTTACACCCGCTGCAGTAACCGGATCTCGATCGTAGATTTCTATTTAAATCGTAGAAAATACCGGTCGGGACAAACTGTCTTCGGCTCTGTTAACTGCTGGATAACGAGAGGGAAAAGGAGGAAAAGCGACGAAATCGCATTCTGCACGAACGAACTTGGTAAACGGAAGAGGTAATCCACTTTGGAAGCAAAGTTCCTATTTCTTCCTCTTATCTACACTTCCGCCCTTATCTTCGAAGCTTACCATATGTCTGATTTTAACGGAGGGGGTGAATTATTTATCGCGGACCTAGGAATCCGTTCTCGTGCAAGGATTTTAAATTAAAAGAAACACGCTAAAAATGTATCCCGAGAAGTTTCTAAGAAACATTCAGTCTTTTGAAACGATATAGAAAATTAAATTAAAAACTTTTTTATTTAAAAGGTGCGGTTTAATTCTACCCCATCTTTCGGGAAATTCTTTGACCGTGACTTAAAAATTTGTCTCTCCTTTCAACGCCGAATGAAACTCAAAGCTTTTCTCCAAATACAAAGAGGTTTTCACGGATTTGTCGTAGGAAGTTCCGCGTTCGCGTTAGTTGCAAATGGGAAGTGAATGCATAAGAAATGCGAGAGACAACCTTTCTCCCGGTAGACGAGAGAAGTAGGTCGTAGACATTAAACGCATGGAGCTGCTTTATACACCGTGTAACGAAAACCGCGGAAAACATCTTCTTACCGCGTATGGGAATATAATTCTAGCCTAGTGTCCTCCAGACACCAACGAAAGCTTGCAGGCTTTGGTTGCAGCCCGGTTCTAACATGGAACTTCATTTCGTGTCACGAATTACGAGCGAGTAAATTGAACGTAGAGGAAAATGGATTTAATGACTCGGCTGATGAACCTATAAAACACACTGCCATTTGCTAATTTGGAGCATATTACAATTTTCAAAGGTACATAAATATTTGACTGGAAAAAATATTGAAAATTATACTAATTATAATTCAAAATAATTAGGGTAGAGAAAAGGATATTCAAAAAGATAAAATTCCAAATTTTCGGCTAAAAATGGAAGACCGTGCAAAGTTGTTCGGTGAAATGTGGAGCATGGCCAATTAAAATATTTTCATTGGAAGGGGTGCTATCGGTGACGTGCGGACAGCAAGTAGCGCCATATAAATTCGACGAAACGCCGTCACTTTAAAATAACATCTATCCGGAGCCGAAGTAATATAGCATGGTATTTCAAATAAAAGCACTCCATCGTACCAGAGACACCGCAGAGCCGCTTCCTAAGGTGTTAATCTTAATCCGCTGACTCAAACGGGCGCCCCGTTGATGATTTATTACCGGGATTAAAGCGCGTGAAAATTCATTGCTACCTACAGTTTCCGACTTAACTTAATACACAAGATTGTGTATACACAGAGTACTTTGCAATAGTTGACAATTTTATTTGAAACTTCGTGTAAAACTTTTGATAAATGAAAATTGATTTTAGGCCGATTACCTTGAATTAATGAAAAGTCAAATTACTATGCATGTTTCATATTTCAGAAAGAAATATTGCTCTACACAGAGGGAGAATTATTTCAGGGTATTCCGTTGGAAGGAAGAATTCCAATTCCGAATAACGAGAGGTGAACTTGAAATTTTCCATTTTCTTTTGTACCACCGTGTATGATATATCGAGCCGTTGCACGTTTACATGCGGGGAAAATTCGTATTCGGTTCGCGTAAACCCGCGTGACTGATGGTGGCGTTCTTTTGAGCGATGTCGAAAAGCTGGCACCGGCTTATTCCATACGTGCCTTCAAAATTTGTCACCGGTACTCGAGAACAACCTCTAAAGAGTTACGAACCGTTCGTGCTAAAACACGTACGTGCTTCGGGTTCACTAGTTGCACATCGCGGGAAGTGTGAAACGCTTTTTTTATTTTCAATCGAACCCGAGCCCGTGATTCGAAACTTTACAGAAATACCGTGTAACGCGATGATTTATCAGGTGACTCGTTCTAATTGAGCCGAAAATATCTGAGTAGACAGGGTAAGCCGCGAATATCGCGTCCAAAGAACACACGAGACACGTGTGTGGGTGTGTATTAACCTTAAGGCGAATGCCAGACGTGGGTTACATACGGTATCCGAGAAATTCCTCTGCAACGATGATAAATAGTCCTTTTTACATAGCTTGATCGTTTTTCTATGCACGGTCTGCTGTAAACAAGGCTGGTGATGTACGAGATTGATAGCGATCGCGAGACCGTGTGACAAATGATAGGTACACTCGCGATCAAATGAGACCTACCGTATGAAAAGCTATTTTTCTGAAATTTTCTCGTGATGAAATAACAGAATTACCAGGGAAATGGAAGAAAATTGGTTAAATCTGACAATTTATGGGGATCGCTACAGCGAGCGTTGACGTTTATCGGTTCGTAACACGCGGCTCCGTGAAAGTCCTCGAAATTATTGGAATAATTTGCATATCGTAACGAACGGAAGGGAAGAAATCGGACTGCAACGGGTTACGCGGAACGTTTGTAAAAATATCGATAGGTTATCGCGAGGCAACAGAGTTCCGACGTTAAAAGATCCATCGAAGGAATAGAAGGAACTGTGCTAATAGTGTTTCTTTTCCATATTGCTGACGCGTTACGAACGAAACTTCGAGGAAAGTTTTAATAAACGAACGTGCACGTTTTACCGAGAATACTTCGAACGTCCATCATCGAACGTCTCTCCAATTTTTCCTCGTTCGAATTCAGCCATTGTACGAAGAATGAGCGGCGTGCAAAGAATAACGAACGAGGCTGAACAGCGAAGCACCGTTTCGAATAACACCTATCTATGATTTCTTCGAAAGCAGCTTTCAATCAACGCATCGAACGAGTAATTAAATTCTGCAGAGTAATAACGATATTTTCTAAGCCCAGGTGCATACGAAAAACGAAATGGCAAAGGATAAGTTACGCCTTGCACGATCCGCGTTTAAGTCCTTAAAGAGGCTCTTTAATTAGTTCGTCTGTCCGTCGCAGAGATAACGGCAAGAAGGAAAAAGGAAAAAGGGGGGGGAGAAAAGAACACCAAGCATTGTGACCGGAAAACTATGCGAGAACTCGCGAATGGGAGTGCGAACAATGCCAGATCGCACAAGCATCGACTATTCGAGGGACAGAAACAGCGACAGGGCTCATCTATTATTGGCGCAAAACAGAAATAAAATGCAGTACGACGGCCTGTGAAACATACGATGCTTGCGTTCTGTTGCTAACTTTTCCACCCTTTCCCCTTTTTCCAACATTTTTCTTCTCTGATTTTCTGCATGCGCGCGAATGTACTCGACGATAGTGAATTCAGTCAAATTTCACTGACTGAAACCTGGAACACATTAAGCAGCAGAGAACACTTACCACAGTGATGGGGTAGACCGGGTTGATAATTGTGAAGAGGAGAACGTGATTGGGTTTGTTATTGTCTTCTCTGAAACAGATAAAAGAAATATAATCCAGATTTTCAAAAGTAACTTTATGCAATGTCAGGATTAGATATATTTTTTAATGTTTTATTTAACGATATCTAAGCATCTTACGAACTTATTACTAATTTTAATGCCTCGTAAAATAAAATACCTTCTCCCTTCTTTTCGAAAGCTTTCAGCACCAAGTTTTCATATATACGATTATTTAAAGCAGACTGTAAGTTACACTGGCCGCACAGCGAGAAGTTTCAAATTTACGAGAGAAATTTTCCGCGTCGCATGAAAACTTTCACGAACGCATAAAGGGTCAACGATGTTTGCAATTTTTTCACGGCTGAATTGCCGCCACGTCACCGAACAATTGTAACAATTTAGTCGTTTCAAACGGTAACTCGATGTATCTCCATTATACAACATCGAGCAATTCTTACCGAGATGGAACAGTGAAAAATTCTGCATTTCACCGGTGGATAGGGTAGAAACGAAGAGGGGGGAGAGTGGATGGAGCAGCGTTGAATCGCAGTGAAATTACATCAGCCAGCGCACAGTTGGCGAAATTTTTTATTAAATCAGAGCTGGCGCGAGCGGGTTGAGAAAAGGGTTCGGAGCGAATATTCGATTACTCGAGAGAAACGAAACGAAGAAAAAATTGTCCCGGTAATTTCCTTCCAAGATTCGACGAGGCCGAGACACAACGAATTGGAAGTACCTATCGATACATAGCTGCCTATACATTTTTCATCAACGTATTCTTTCGCTTCCGCTTTGAGGCCAATTGGAAATTCAGCCGCCTACCATTTTTTTCCCCGTGGGAAAAAAAGGGAGACACCCGGGTGCTCTGGTTCTGCAATTCAAAATAGCCAATTCGCCGCGAATCTGTTGCTCCTACTCTGAATGATTAAACATTCTACGATTCGTCGCTGAACAGTAACGAAAAAGAAAATTTGCGCCGTGGTTCATTTATTCTTTTTCTCCAAGATTAAAATAATTCAATTAAAACGGTGATAAATGATTGCAATTAATATGACCCAATAAAATTTGCAAGATTAACAAAATATCAGTGGAATTCTGACTACTTTCTCTCTTTTTATTTTGTAATTATCTGAAAATAATTATCGTTCGCTGATGAGTAACCGAGGATCTCAAATTGGATGAACTAAAGTTGAAGAGACGACACTAGCTTCCAAAGTTTGGCCCGCAGGATGATAATTAACATTCACCAATTTAGTAAAATGGCCACAGGAAACCATCTGTCCGAATAAGGGTTGGTAATTGTCCAATTTGATGTATATGTAAAGCCGAATACACTTGTGGTCATTGAACAAGGTTTGCGGATGACAGTGGATTCGCGATCGGTCAATAATGCGTTAAAGGGGGGGAATTGGCCGTTGATAATGTCGCGAGACAGACGCGTACACGTCGAAATTAATTAAAACGTCGCAGCCGGTCCGCAAACTTTCCGACCGATCCCAATGAGTCGGCTCCGGCCAAGTCTAATAATAAGAAGTTAACTCGAGCGTTAAGCGTGATTCAGAGAGACGGGAATTTGATATCGAATGATATCCACCTCCATGGAACTTGACTTCCCTAAGTTTCTGTCGCGAAAACGCGAATCTCGCGACGGAATGAACCGGGGATATGAATTTCTTTGAAGATGCGCTGCGATTCGATGAAAAGTGAAATTATGATCTATGATACTTCGATCCCTTGAGGCATTACAATATTTAAGCCTTACTTAAACAAGGGTGTAATCAGAGGAGACGACGATGACCACCCTTCCCTAAAGAGATACGCAATCTTGAAAAAATTAATTTAAAATTATTTTCCTAGTATTTTAATATTTTTTAAATATACTATCAGATATAATTTAACAAGTTTCCTTTAGATACAAAAGGGATCATCAAATTATAAGGGTCATAAAAGCAACGTAAAGCATGGTCATCCCTCGCACAAACTCTATTAACACTTCGCACTCTAATAAAATTTAATTTAGGTATAATTAAGTTATGGTTAACTTGCACGCATTGATTATCGTATTAACAAGTTGACTGCCACGCTGAAGCTGTTAAAGGTTTCATTATGTAGACGAATTTTATCTATTATTTTCATAATATTTTATTTCTATTATCAGAAATTCAGAGTGTCTAATATGAATATTTTTAATTAAAGAAAAAAAAAGAATTCCTAATAATTCTTATAGAAATTCAACGAATCGTACCTTGTTAATGTAACTATTATAAATAAATGATATTCAAAAATAAAACATACCTTTTACGTCGTGGCTCGTCTCCGTACCCGCCATACTCGTGATTCTGAAACAAAGAAAATTATAATTAGCAAAAAGATTTTAAAAATTACAACATCTATTAATTTCATAAAGTATGTACTCAATTATAGGTATCTGAACAATGGCAAATGTTTGCAATAATAAATATAAAGTTTTAGAAAATGGAAAGGTTGCAAAATGGTACGACGAGGGTGTGTTTTGAAACGGATGAACCGATTTGGTGACTCGAACACGGGATATTGTTTTTCGTGTTGGCTGAAGGTTGCATAAGAGAAATTCGCGTTGCAATTTTGGCTGAACTTCGATGGTACGCGATGTCACCGAGGATGCGTACTCGAGCAATCTATTAATACACGTCCACGCGTCTTTTTACGACAGCACCGAAAGCAGACGGAAATAGTGCAGCGAGACACTTTAGGGGCGGTAAGTGACGAGCCCTAAGTGAATCAATTGTTCTTTATTCTATAAAGAGGAAGATTGTTACCCTTTGTACATGGGATAGATGCAGATTTATGCTATGCAACTGAAGTATCCATTATCTAAAATTAACAAAACTAAATCTGATTTTTATTTTTAACAACCTCGATCACCCAAAAATAACAACAATTAAAAGAATGACTAAACAGAAAAATTTGCACTCTCTTGCCAGGAAGAATTGTTTATTTTTAAGATAGAAAAGAAATCTGAGTCATCCATCATAGCCACGCTTCTAAGGATAGGAATAAACTATGTTTTTTTAAAATTTAAAATGACAAGGACGTTACAAGTATGTCTGACAAAAAAGAATTTGTTCAAGGAGACTTACATCATCAGTTAGAAGTGAAAAAATCCTTACACAAATTCTGGTTATTATCTTAACCATACCTGAATATAAATGCAAAATATCGTGTATGTTAAGTTTATAATTCTTGACAAATAAATTTTCAGAAATCTGACATTTTTCTTATTTTTACATTTTGGAATCGTGTTTTATGTTTCTGTTTACATGTTACTCTCTGCAGATATTTTTTTCTCTCTTTCTTATAGACGTATGTTTAGAACATTTGTTAAATGAATCGAATGTTTAGATAACCGATGTTTGGATAATCGAGATCCTGCTGTATTTGAACTTTGTACTTTAAACTCGACGAGCCAAAGTATAAGAGAAACAGGGCGATACGTTTAGATAAATCGATTATCACAGCAAATGGCAATCTTCTTCTTTGTATGATATACATTTCCATCGAATCATGTTTTCGTATCTCGTCGGAACATGAAATGTCATTGTTATTTTACACGCGAGATAAGATAATAAAAAATGAATTTCACTGAAGCTTTCATTAGGTCACGATAATAAAGAAATGTATAAGATTAATTATTCAATCACCTCGTGGTTATTCATTTCTGATTCATTATTCCTAGCAGAGCAGTTCTTTAAAATAATGATATCGATGAATCAAACGTTAATCGTGGGTGGCGTATAAGCTCGATAAAGAAAATTGAAGGAACATTATGTTCCGAATGCATGCAAATTTTTTGTAACGAATGATATCGCCTCGGCGACGTTCCGATAACCTTACGAAAGCAATTTAATTTCGTAATTTACGATCCCGCTGATTGCCGCATACTTGAGAGAAATGCTGTTTAATCGTGAAACGTGGCAAGAGTTCGCGTGCAAATTTACGTAATCACGTTCGATCGAAATAATTGAATCGTTCTGCTTTAAAAAAGCAGGGGGGGGGGGGGGGGGGGGGAAGAGAATTCCAGCTGGAAACCAATCGACGCGATAAGACCGCGAACAAAGTGAAACGGAGAAGGAGCTTTAATTGAATGACGAGTCTCTGTCAGAAATTAACATTCATTATTCGCTGACAAGCCACGCCAATTAGTCATTCTTTTGCATTGAAAGGCGGCTCGTAAAAGTCGTTTAAATTTCAATTTCAACTTCTCAACGCATCCCGGCTCCCCTGTGGCCGTGTATTTTCCAAGCGGAACCGTGTCGATTCAATTCCATCGCGATACGCTTTCGGCTCAATTTTTCAACCGAAAACCGATGACACGCTTTAACTGAAAACGATTCGAATTTCCATTAAAACCGAATTGAAGCCGAGAATTTCGAGAGTCAAAATATCAAGAGACTTTCCGATAAGATTAACCCGAAACATATTTTCTCACTCTCTGCAGGTAAACTGGGTCGCCTCGCTGCTTCAGATTTTCAGAAAATCTCAGAAAAAGTCTATATCGTTACACCAAATGTTCGAAACTTTTAAAATTTCGAAGAGGTGTGAAATTTTATTTGTGCCATCAAATAGTCAGGTTACCCATGGAGAATTAAAGAGCCAATTGCTGCAGGAAATGGTTGAATTTTTATGCAAAAGGAATAAGAATTTCTATCGCTTCGCTTCATTTGCTCGTAAACCACCGTCAGAGTGTGTACGCATTCAAAGCGAAACGTTTCCAACCTATGTGTTCGAAAAATAAAGGAAACATGGTGTAGAAGAAGCATCAATCAGGCGGTTGGCCAAACAAATTCTTGCGAAGTAGGAAAAAAGAACGCAGCAGGAAGCTAAGAGGAATTCTTACGGAATGGTTTTGGTACACGATCCAAGATTTCTGACGGTATGCGTTGTACTGGTCGCATAGTATCACCGTTACGAGGCACGGTGAATCCCACGTAGAATCTGTAATACGTTGTTATAAACATAACTCAGCATTGGCTTCCCGCCAACCACGTGGTTTCACGCTCAATGGATCACGCCCGAACGGCCGGCTAAAAAATATCACCGTCAACGACACCCCCGATAAATTCCGTCCATCACGATGGAACGCGTAAAATCTTGAAAGCCTTTTCATTTCCGGCAACGAGAAACCTCCGATCTTACCCTTTTACGATCGAATAACAATGCGTGCCCTGCTTTCTTGTTGATCGTCGTATTCAAGTCGTTTTGAAACTGATTAGAAAATGAATTAGTTGGCAACGATTAAGAATAATATAACTCGAAAGGAAAACTATGCAAGAAATCAGGCTAATTGGACGTCAGGTGATGAAAACACACGGTGAAATCTTGTTTACAAGCATTAGATAGTGTTTATCTAAATAAAACCTTGCATTAGAAGAAATTTACCGGTGTTGCAGAGAAATGCATCTCGTGTCTTGTTGCATTGTAATTGCAGTTACACTCTGGATAGCAGAAAACACGTGAATAGGATACTCCGAGTAAAAGCTCGCAGACAGCTCGTATATCAGAGCGACACGAAAAACTACGCTCGACATTTTACGGTTTGATTCTCCGAGTGGGCGGAATCTGTAAGTGGAAACGGATAAAATGAAAACAAGGCGAGGGCGTCGTACAACCGTCTCAGAGTCGAGGAGAAAGTCGACTGGCCGGTTGCCAACCACGTGCTGATAAAGAGATTAACCGCAGAAACAATGCTTATGCTTCGTAATGACTTAGTTTGTCAACGAAGACTACTTTCAGAACTTTCCTATGATCAGAAGAATGAATTTCCATTGATACATCTTGACTTAAAATTTGAAATTCTACAAAATCGATGAATTCCTATGGAAATTCAACCACTCGTCCAGAAATATTGTTCCTTCATCTTCTAAAAATACGATTATTGCGTCCAGCACAAGGAAACAGGGTGAAACACAGGTTCTTGAGAGACGACGATGCGTTCACTAACAACGAGTTAGATGCAGGTGAAATTTAAGGAGGAACACGCGTGAAAAGTTTCGTCTTACCAGCTTTTACCAAGGATGCCGGTAGAAGGCTGTATGTAATTCATAGCCGACAAGATAATTGGGCCACTGTGATTCCAGCACTCAGAGGCAGCGAAACGGTCTGTCTGCATGTGAACACACAAGAAGGATGCACCACTCTACCGGGTATCGCTTCAACGTTTAACCCCTTTCCCTATGAATTTTCCAAGCAACCGCATGCACCTAGTTAGATCGCGTTTACATGATCCATTTAGTTTGATCATGGTTTCTCTAGGCAGCGTACTCGCGTGCTACGTTTCAACGTGAATCGAACCTCTTTCCTGTATTATAGACTTAGACAGAGTAAACTGTGCAATAATTAGCACCTTAAATTAATAGCCCATTTAATGACTGAAACTGTGTCTGAAAACCTCAAAAAAAACTCTGCAATTGATCAAACTCTGAAATACTTAAAAAAATAATAATAAAGTTGAAAATATTAATAATTAGCGTAAGTACAAGTGTTCACAGGAAAGCAGAAATAATTTTTGAATAAATTATAAAGTTGACCTATATAAATAATAGAAACAAATCCGAGAATATTAATGGAAAAGCAGAATCATTCAAGTAGAAGGGTTAATGGGCCAACAGCTGGTCCACAGTTCAAAGGAATACCATAACGTTTCAATTGCTACACGTTGAGAGATACGCTCAAGTCTTGGCTCGCTAAAGAACAACAACGATAATAACAGATAGATTAACCAGGGAAGCAGCTGTTCGAAATACAATGTAGCCACTTGGAACACGTCGCGTGCTCGATGTCCGCTTATCGATTTCGCTTCGCTGAATATTATGTCCGTCGTGACGAGACAGCTGATAGGGTGAAACTAGGGTGAAGAAGTCGGCGGTAGAAAAATCGGAGAATACGAAATGTATGCCGCTGCAAATGGCATTGGAATATGAATGGATATTAAAGTGACCCAGGAGGACAAAGAAGGGTGGCGAATTTTTTCGACCGACCAAATTATACCGTCGACCAATGATATTCGAGGATCTTGCAGAATTATTCACAGTACATTCTTATACATTGTCCCTCAGTAAAATTTTAATATTCATAAATTGTTAGAATAACGATGGACTCTGTTCAGAAGATTTTTGAATCACAGAAACTCTTGAAACTTTGAAAGTTGAAGATTTACTGCAAATTGATTTTATATATCTTTTTTCAACAAAAATTTAAGAATCCTAATTGGACGCGTCTTGGCTCCGGTTTAATAAGAGTCTGATGGTATTTCAGAATAATGATTCTAGCACTGAATACAAAGGAACAATTTTGGGCAATT